ATGATACATCGACAATGGTTGGATACTGACAAAAAGGGTTTAGCGCGACTTCGATGAAAGAACATTCAACAAGACATGCAATCAAAGCTTTATTTTGAATTCTTTAGAAGGCTTTAAAATTGGCGTTGTAAATTAAAATGTTTATTATTAGTGGTGAAACTGAGGTTTGGAACAGAGAGAATGTAGAGTAGAGTCACSAAAATCTTCAACTAATCCAACTTTAAGTAATATATTTGATCTTTGCTTGTTATTATGTAGAATAACCGGTCGCAAGATGCGTAATTTCAGCTGTTTCCATCTGAAAAATTAGCTTTGCTTGTCAGGAAGTTAGTATACTAATAACTCCCTATATTGCGGCTTCTTCAATCTACACCTGGAGAAAATAATACGAGCTGCAKATCTGAATACAGAAGATACAAACTTTTCAAGAGTGTACAACTGCTATCTTGAGCCGAYAATATCGATWTCATTGGCYGTAACAACTGCRCCCTTAGTTTTGCTTTATCCCGACTGGTTAARGAAGTGAARCAAATGGATCTAGTACGATGGAGCTGAACGWGGGCAAGACCAAATATCTCATCATCATCAAACAGTCATCAAGCAAACAGTCGTCGCACTTACGAGTTGGCTCCCACGTCACTGTTGACAGTCATAACTGCAAAGTCGTAGATAATTTCGTCTATCTTGGAACCAGTAATAACACCAACAATAACGTCATCCTCAAAATCCAACGCAAAATAACTCTTGCCAACAGGTGCTACTTCGGACTAAGTAGGCATTTGAAAAGTAAAGTTCTCTCTCGACGAGCAAAAACCAAAATGAGGCATGAACGATGACAAGATCTGTTGAGTCGGCGTTACGAGTTTTCTAGAGAAAGRTTCKGTGGAAGATTTATGGTAGTCATATGAATCGGTATTCTAATTCTATACATTTTGTGTTTGGGGTTTTATAGTTATATATTTCCAAATGTGTCTTTTTTATTATAAGGCAGTTCTGTCGACTTCGAAAGATTATCTACAAATGAATCAGATTCTCAGGGTACTATYAAGCTTTGCAATGAATTTACCTCTTTTAATCTTTTATATTTCYTGGTAGGTTAATCGTAGGGTTACTCCAAACTCGATTGATCTCAAATGGACGTATATATATTATTGTGCTATCCATAAACTCCTCCAAGTAAGTCATGAGATCATCATAGATTGACGAAGTGTTTTGTGCTTACCACAAATTTATTAAAGCGGTTAAAAGCAATCCCAGCTCCTTCGCTAGGTTCGCCAAAGGTTTGTTTAYCGAGATATTTYAATCTCAGTTTGGCMAAAGCCGGGCAATAGGATAGGAAGTGACAAATGATTCCATCTCGCCTTCCTTCWTTCAGCTTTGGCAAAAAAGCGTCCGACAGAATATTTAGCCGTACCGCTTTGAAATCTATTAGACAGTGTCCGGTTAAAACACCAACAATGGCGAGATTGTCCTTGGTAAGAACCAGTAGTTCAAAGGATCTGTTAGAAAATACCGAACCAATATACTGAACCACATACAATTCTTTCAACACATGGTTTCATTTTGTGAACGACTAAGTGTACATACTTCTTTCGCTACATATGTATTACCTTCAAATGATTTCATATTGGCTGTTGGTTTAAAAAYTGTTCGGTTGCAAAATACTGTGTACTTAACCGCACGGAAGGCTTGATATTGAGTTACGCTCTTGAAGAAAAGAACTTTACTTCTCTATTCCCAACTCAGAAACAAAAATTTGTTGTTAACAAGAATCATTTTACAGTGACTTACAACGAACTCACAGTGGTCTATGTCATTACAACAACGCTGGCGTTGTCATCGGCATAATATTAGAAAGTTTTAGATATGTTCTAGTATAAAGACCTGCCAAAAGAGGTTTTCAGCTGATCTATTAATTTTCTCTAAAGTTCGCGTAAAGAAGTCTTGCAGCAAGTAACTTGTATGCCATATAAGGCCGCTACAATATTAAAGGAGTTGTATGTCAAAAAAGTCTTGCGGTATTTTCGCTAGTTGGCGCTGAGAGCGTGTAGTTCTAGTTCTATTCGTTGCATCGGGTAATGCTATACCTTTTTGGAAAGCTCATTTCACGCGCTAACACAAGTTTGATTGTTTGTCGTTTCTTTTAAGTCTTTCGTGAGTTATAGCGTCGCAAACATGGAGCAAAACAAAGAGAAAATACGCTTTTTTTTACAGTACTACTACGATAAAGGCAAAAATGCATCTCAAGCCGCCAATAAAATTTGTGCAGTTTATGGACCCGATATAGTTTCCATTTTCAGTTTTCATTTTCACCGCACAACGATGGTTTCAACCTTTTTGTTCTGGTGTAGAAGTGGTCGAAGATGCGCCACGCTCCGGAAGGCTTGTCGTCGAAAGAGACTGGCATAGTAGCAGCCGTAGCATCAGTCAAGAGCTGGGCATGAGTCATCAAACCGTTATAAACCATTTGATTGAAAATTCACTAAAAATACCGCAAGACTATTTTGACAATCTATTATTATACGAAAAAATAACTTTGTAGAAAGGAGAAAATATATATAAATATTATTTTTTGTTTCTGTCAGTATATTAACACGCCTTTTATAGCTTATTCTCGATGTTAACTTTGGGTAACGAGCGGAAATCTAAGCTCTAGTTAAGGCAAAATCAGTTTTGTGCTTTCACATGTTATTCGAGTGTAGAGCTTTTGTGCTTTTAACCTAAACACTATGTGATGTAGCTTATTTCACATTTCAGCAACCATAAATTTAATGTGAAGACTAATTATAAGTTAATCAACGATGTACTGTTATGTACGCTCTCTTATTTTCATTGGGACAACTTACATTTTGGCCGATATATGCGGTGACTTAATACAGGAAGTCCAAAAATCTTTATAACTATAGTCCGAAAAACTTTACCACAATTAACAGAAAAGGGTGAATCCTCCTGCATTTCAATTATGTCATATAGTCAACTTAAGCTCTGGGTTCACAAATACCGCCCCTTTAAAGCCCTCTCATACTATCACCATTTTTCGTTATTATCGCAATTTTGGTAGTTTTYACCGTCACTAGGGGAGTGAGCAGGGWTATCATCCGATTTCATTGATTTCCACACTGTCGGTAGGAGTTATATTATTTATGCTAGGCAAGTTTGGTTATCGTAGCTTTAAAACAGTTAAATATTTTAAACTTATAATGGGTGGGGTTACATCCACTTTTTAAACATTTTTGTGCTACACTAACTCGTCCTTACTATTTGCCAAGGAACGCGTTTCATCAAGATTTGGAATTTTTACTCAAGTTAGAGCTGCACTTACGGACAGACGGATGGACAGACAGACATTAACCCGCATTTCAACTCGTCAACATTCAACATTACAGTAAAACGTCGCTTAACGCTGTCTAGGCTTAGCGCTTTTTTTTGAAATTAGGGGTTCTTGAAATTACGCTTCAGAACACACACATACATATATAAATACAACCATTGAATCAAGGCGTTATGTTAACTTTAACGGCTTCCGGCTAACATAAAACAAATTTTTGAAAGAGTAAACAGAGAAGTGAGAAAATTATTAGGAGAATTTATAAAACATTGCAATATCCTGGAGKCAGTAGAAAAAAATATCATAAACCTTTCTCTAGAATGACAGCTATCTAATCAAAGACCTTTGAAAGGATTATGGAAGAACAGAAGAACATTTAGGTAGATTAAAGTAAGAGCRAAGACATCGGACACTTTGTCGATATGGATAAAGTGGTCTAGATGTCCAGAAAAAAACACCTTTAGATAGGCAAGCAGCATTTTAGGCAGTAGCCTCCTAGCGCATATCGGCCAAATGTGCCTTAGGAGGCAGAACAGCAGTGGGAAGTGTTGTCCGAAGCAAGCAACGTGATCAACATTGGGAAACCCATGCACTTATACGACGTTTTATACAAAAAACAAAACCCGATGAAACGAAATACCGGGGTGTAAAACTGCAATAATCAGGTGCAAAACCATAGATCGGTAGTATACAAAATACCTCTTGCTACCCAATAGAAGAGACTGGAGCATGATCGCAATACTAATGGGTCCACTGTCTGGTGGCGACACACACCGCAAAACGAGGCCGACAGATCGAGAAGACTGCAGGGAATGTCTAGAGCAAGGCATCAGGAAAACAATGGAGCAAGACTACGGTACGCTGTAAACATCTGGGGTTCCCTCCGTATGTTACACTGAAGGAGGTATCGATAATGAGGCTACAGAGTCTGTTAAAAGTAACTGAACTYCATCTCGTATCGCTGGCTCGTTGCCCTACCAGATTAACCTAACCTAATCTAACCTAATAGCAGGTCAGCGATATCATAAATATACATAATATAACATTTTTTAGTAGTTGAATATCAGTTGTTTTTTTTTTTGTCAGTTGCGTCGTGAATGATTTAAATTCGGGTCCCTATCACTGAATCATCGGATTTAAAACTTATACTTTTCTGAAAAAACCCCTTGCAATTGATTTTTAAAAGGCCTGTSAAATGCAATTCAGTTTTACATTTACAAAATAAAACTTCCACAACTTTAAACCGGTTCGGTCCAGTAGAAAATCACTTTACGTCGTCTCCMAAGACCCACAAATATTTATATTCATACACAACGACAGACGTGATTGATACTTTATCAATGAATTACTATATATTTACATATCGGCACGACTCTAGAGCCGGTAAAGTCAAAAAGCTCTCAACCCTCTATTTAATCAACGCTTACCAAATTTCACGCTTAAATMAATATCGAAATAATCTTTCTAACACCTCACTATTACCTCAGCACGATAATTATAAACAGAACAAAACTCGAAGCTAAACGTATTCTCAGTGCAGTTATAAATAATCAAGATTATACTCGTAAAAGCTTAATAAAACAAAAGCTTCTTCCCACTTAAGGTTGTTGAGTTGCACGATCGATCAGCTTGTCAGATCCCGGAATTAGTAGCATTTTAGATGTGAGACCAACAGTAGCAAAATCATGTGGAGACAGGTTTCTAAAATTTTATTGTTGCTTTTGAGCAACATTCTCATTGCTGCGCATAACGGGCCGGCATACGAATCTGGTAAAAGCAATTATACATACATACTCGTTAATATTTCGGTAAACAAACAAGAAATTCAATTTTATAAATTTTTTGTTTTTTGTTTTAAGCGTCGGCAAGCTGTCTAAACCCAAACCATAAAGTCGGCCAGTGCATATCAATCTACGATTGCAGTTCGTTGGCTTTCGTCTTAAGAAAACAATTAAGGGCACAATATAGTTTCGTACGTATGTCGCAATGTGACGGTGGCGCTTATGCAAGAGGGAAATTTCCCTTCGTTTGCTGTACGAACGATACGAAGTTCCTCGATCCCAATGSTGACCAGAAACAACGCATTATTTTTCCGGATACGAAAACAACGGAATTTCCGCATGGTGGACATCAGAGTGTTGCCTTTATTACACCCCCACAGTGTGGTGCATTGACTATTTCGAATAAGATTTTTGGTGGTGAGGAAGCTGAGATAACCGAGTTCACCTGGATGGTTAAGTTGGAATATAAAAACGGTAAGTGTTGGTTGGGTATGCTAAATTTTCGAAAATGTTGATGGTTGTGAGAAAGTGAAAATTTAAAAAAAATATTTGTGGTGAAGTTGAAGATGATTTAACTCATACCGGAGAGCAGCGGCTGGAGTGAAGTAATTTTTCACAATTTCGTAGATTTGTTGTATTTAGAAGGGTTCGATTTATACTTTTGCCACATTAGACATTTTTAAGGTTTGGTGGACGGATTTATTTTGTTTTTTGCTGCACCGAAGCTTTAATACCCTCACAGATRCATTTGAAACTGATTTAAAAAGAGATTTATTATGATTTTGATCGCTCGGTTTGGATGGTGGCTATCAGCTAATAACATCTGCCAATTTTTTTGAACATACCTCGGAAAATGACACAGTTTTCCATAGAACCACTTGATTTCGATCGTTCAGTTTGTAAGAATATGTGTATGTTATTGGTCTCATATTGGCGATTTCGACAGAAGAGCAGATTGTTGTTGGGAAACGAACGACTTTTAAATTTCATAGAATTAAATTAATTAATTTTTTTAAACAGGTGGCAACACTCTAAAAGAATGTTTACAACTTTCTTATATGAAAACTCTGCAGTTCCTAGTACCATGCTTTTTTTTATAATTTATTTGCCTTAAAAAATTTTCAAACAGGTGGCAAGGCTACTAACAAAAAAATTCTAAATAATCGGTTCGACTTTGAATTAGCTGATAAATACTAAGAACAATGTCGAGATAAGATAGTTAGATTTACATTTCTAGAAAGTTATGACTCTGGATTGATCTGTAGAAAGAATCTAAATTTAATTAGAACTTCCGTTTACAGCATTATTATTATCACTAAAAACTTTCTTCGCAGAAATATATTTACGTACTTACGTGCCTACCTACAAATGTTAATATACAACATGTATGAGAAATTTCACTTTGGCAAGTTCTTGGGAAAAGAAAATACCTCGGACGGTAGAGATGTCATGGGAGATAACAATAATACTTTTAAAGAGGAATATACTAGTTTTTAATAATTAACTTGAATTTTGCGGTTRCTTATATTTATAAATAATATGATTTGAAAATAGGAGTATAAATYTGGAAAATTTTTCTATCATCTTTTTTTGCTTTCAGAAAGCGGCCTAATTCTTTCGGAATGTGCCGGTTCTTTAATCAACGAACGTTACGTTCTAACAGCAGCACACTGTGTGGTCGGTCCTGTTGAGCAGAAAGTTGGAAAACTGTAAGTTAATAAATAATTTCACTATTTCAAATATTAATAWATTCGTTTCCATCTACGAAATCCTTTTTTCCTTCTAGCGTCTCCGTGTTTGTAGGAGATCAAGCCACCGCATCTTCATATAATTACAATCATTACGAGTATGCACCGTCCACTCAACGCTTCGGCATTGAATACGTTATCGTGCACGAGCATTATGGATTTGACCCGCACACAAATGTACATGAACATAATGACATAGCGTTGATTCGACTGAGTAGGTCTGTGGAATTCAATAACTACATTCAGCCTGTTTGCTTGCCAGTACCAGCTKTACAAGATGAGCTAACAGAAGGAACACATCTGATTGTAGCTGGTTGGGGTCATACGGGCTTAAGTAAGTAGATTTTTACAGCAAGCGAAGTCTTGCTTCTCGTATTAGGAAAATTATTGAATACTAATATAATATAGGTTGTCAAATATCTCCCTTGCACCTTTTTGCTCTTTATTTAATGCTTTATAAAAAGTGTTACAGTGATTGGATTTAGTTCACATATGCGCCGTTTCGTTCGATAATCTGTTTCCATCTAGAGGGCAGCTTAATAATAGCCCCCACGTTGAAGCCGTCCTCCTGATTTGCGAAGAACTCGGACAGCCACATTTCTTTTGAGTTCAACTTTACACCAACAGGTGCGTTCGCCATGGAGAGGAGCAGGTGGTAATCACTTGACGCTATGTCCGGGCTAAATGGTGTATGCGACAAAACCTCCCACCCGAGCTTCTGTAGCTTCTGACAAGTCATCAACGAAGTGTGTGGTCTGGCATTGTCCTGGTGGAATACTACACGCAGTAGATGGCAGAATTAAGCACTGGCCATATGGGAGCAGCTTATAGTAGATGATTTTCTCCAAATCCCAGCAAACGCAYAGCAAAATCTTCCTGGTCGTCAATCCCGGCTTGGCCACTGTTTGTTACCGGTCTTCGACCATGACCGTTTTCGCTTGATATTTTCGTAACTGACCATTTTTTGCTGCCAGTCACTATCCGCTTCAAAAATGGGTCGAGTTCGTTTCCTTTCAGCAGCATATCACAGGCGTTGATTCGGTCCAGAAGCTTTTTTTGCGTCAAATCATGCGGCACCCAAACATCAAGCTTTTTTGTATATTCAACCTTCTGCAGATGGTTTAAAATAGTTTGGTRACTAACTGCCGTCTTCTGGGGGATGCCACGAGATGCCACATGCTGGTCTAACTCGATGTTTTCCATGATTTCGGTATTCGTCATCGCAGGTCTTCTGCCGGCTGGCTTATACATGSTGTCGCTTTCACCCGCTCTGAATCGTCGAAACCATTCCTCCGCAGTTCGAAGTGAAAGAGTATCATCCCCCAAAACACCATTAATCGCACGGAAGATTTCTCCAGCGGATTTGCCTTTATCGCTGGAAAACTTTAAAATATCGCGAATTTCGGCTTTAGTGAACTCCATGTTTACACGTCTGTAACTATTGAATGCAATATCCAAACTAATTATGCATAGCGTCRTTTTGTAGGTTATGTCAAGACCTTTCAAAGATGTATAGTATTGCCATATACAAGCTTTTTAGCGCTTTTTACATAGCGGCGAAATTCAAAAGACAAAAAGGCGGAAGGGAGATATTTGACAACCTAATTATAATAATAATAATTTCCTCAGATCTCCTCTTCAGAATAATTCTTCCACGAATAATAATACAATTACAACAACATTTGAAACATTTACAATAACTAAATTTTTCTATTTATTTAGCCCGACATAGCAGAGTGAAGAAGAAAGTCCACTTGCCKCTATATTCAATGGAAAAATGTCGCCATGTTTTCGAGACTCAGACATCGCTATCTGATGAGCAACTCTGCGCTGGCGGTGTATTCTACGAAGATGCATGCACTGGCGATTCTGGCGGTCCACTTATGCGTCTCCACTCAGCCTCTTGGGTAATAGAGGGTGTTGTATCATTTGGACGCCAGAGCTGCGGTCAAGAGAATATTCCGGGAATTTATACGCGTGTACGAAGTTATATCGATTGGATCGCAGATCACATGGAACCTTGGTAGTACCATAATACATAGTTATCTAGGATTACTTAGCTAATATTCAAAAATATATAAATTGTAACATGTTTAGAGAAATATAATAAATATGTATGTAGTATATGTATGATTTGTACAAGGCCAGATTCTTTTATGTATATACGTTTGTATGTTATAAAGGCAAACGCTTAAGAATTTTTAAAAGGATATCTTTTATATTCGCTAATCAAAATAGTTAAATTTTGAGAGTTTCTCGATTCCACCCTTTAAAGATATTTTATCATAGTTTGTATTCGGAAACTGCGATTTTGATATCTTACTGTGTACATAAATAATAATTATTTCTCGCATAAAATATGTATTCCTCCATTAGAGCATATAATAGAATTCAAATTACTTTGGGACTAATTTTATTTAGAACATTAACCTCAATTTAGGCAACTTGTATGAATATAATTTATTACTTTATTCTAAAGTCTTTCATTAGTATTAAACCGAAAGTTTTTGTTTGAAAGGAACTTTTTTGGTTCTTACCGAGAAGGCAATTTAAATGTTGCTGTTAAAGGCAATTTTCRAATTGCATTCAATGTTTCACGTTTAATGTCTTCAAATCTCTCAAAACGGCTTCCCYGGAGCGGTCGCACTAGCCTGCTGAATAGCCAGAAATCACACGGAGTTTGGTTGAAACTTTGGCGAAAAACTTAGGAAGAATCAATACAGTGTGCGAGTTGCATTAACGTGGTGCAAAAKTCAAGAGTTGTTGGTTCATAATTCCGGCCTCTTTTACGAACAGCTTCTCACAATTGGCGCATATCGCCGGTCGGAAGGAATTTGGAGAGCACCACATCTCGATAGTCGAAGAAAACTGTCAACATAAAAATCATTTTTTTTTTTCTTCAGCCGAAAGCCTTTGATGCTAGCGCTGCGTACTTTAGTTTATTTAATAATTTGTTTATTATGTAAGCTTTAATAAAATAAAAAAAAAAATCATTTTTGACCTGCCTTGACGTGGTTTATTGGTTTTGGCTCACATTTGCCATGCTATTCGGGCGATTGATGATATTTTTCCGGGTTTTACAGAAAAAATTTAGTGATTTTGGATACTTACGACATGATTCCAGTAAGATCCCTGACTGTTGATCGTCGCTTCTCAAGAACCAATTCCTATATTGACGCGTTGATAATCAGTTGATTGTGAAGGCCAGCCTTGTTGAAACAGCATATTGTTTTTCTTCAAATGAGGCCATTTTTCGGCAATTTAGCCATTTATGTAAATGGTCCAATGACGCGATGTAATGCTGTTGTTGAAGCTTTCTTTTTCAAGTCAATAAAAATTGCTTCAAGTGCATCTCAGAATAAAGCTTGCTAGCCGACTGTTGCGTTTTTCGACGTGTGCAATCYACTCGGATGACTGTCKATTGGACGAGGTGAAATYGTGGAGCCTTGTTTCATCTGTTGAYACATWTCGTCGTAAAAATTCGGGTTTCTTTCCCTTGAACATCTCCAAACACTGCAGCGAATCATCAACTCATCGTTGTTATTGGTCAAAAGTGAGTTCTTGCTTTGACCATAAACAAAAAACKAATATCCAAATATTCATTAACAATATATCCAATACGTTCCTTTGATAACTTTAGAGCCTTAGCTATCTCGAACAACTTTATTTATGATGCTGCATTTGTAACAGCCTCTTTTGGGCGTCCACGGCTTTCATAGTCCATGTTTCTTATTTCGCCTGGTTAAAAATTAGTGAACTGCTTTACAATGGTTGATTTCCCTGATGCATAGTTCAAATAATGTTGATCTATTGAAACCTTGCCTCCAAGAGTATTTTTTCCCCAATGCTTTATTAACACACCAAATCCCTTTGTTCTAACTAAAACTCATATGCATATAGTTCTTGATCTGTTATGAGAAAATCTCAATAGATCGGTTCAACATCTTTTGGTTATAGTTTTGGGTATGATGCCTGTCAATGCTAGATTCGTACCAAAAGACTTGAATCTTAYGAAAAAKCAACATTTAGTACGTATAGAGATCGCAAAAGAGATGCTTGAAAATATAACTAAGGACACTATATTCTTCATATGATGTTGAAACGGCCAACGATATGCCACTGCGCCAACACAAAAACAAAAAATAAATAAAAAAAATAAAAAATAGAAATAAAAAAATACGCTGAAGGCACTTAAGACCATCCCAGCGCAGTAGAAAAATGTCTAAGCGGATTCCAAATATTTAAAATTTTGTTGCAATGAAATATAAGTCCAACTAAAGAAGCTTAACTAGCTAATTAAAAAACAAAAATTAAGGGTTGCCAGCTGTTTAAAAAACCAGTATGTAAAACTTAASATGTTTAAGAGTGAAAGACTTATAGGGCGATTTTTGAATCAACGAATAGAAATAAAAATTTCCAGATTTGTTACTTTCTAAAAATCTTAAGTATGAAACTCATTAATAACTCTTATATATCTAGCTGCTCGTGATGCTTATGGAAATTAATGCTGACGATGCACTTAGACAATATTTACTTTTAGTTGTACTTTCCCTTCTTTTAGCATTAGACACGAACTATTCCATGTTATATACAATTCATATTTGCTTCGCCTAACTTAATGTTACCATTCAGCAACTTTATTATTTCATGACTATTGGTTAATAATGTCGGTAAATCATTCAGTTTCAATAATAAAAATTTATGATAATTTTAGTTCCTTCGCGAAAACTACACTTGCGGTTTAAAGTCAACGGCTTCTGTTTGCAGAATTCCACAAAAGAATTAACCGCGACTACTATGCGGCATATTATATTAACTGTAAATTGTTAAATCAGTCGCTAGTCCACTTCAACAGGAGTTCAATAACTTTTCTAATGAGACAATGTCAAATCAAACGCATGTGGCACTTGGCAAGTCATTAAACTGCAATAAAACTGCCAAAAGCTTGCTGGCCCGAGTACGTGGCGGGTGAAGCGCGTAATTAGACACTGAATATGGTTAGAATGTGTGACTCATAGACTAACGTAAACGGAAATATTTGCAGGTATTTCCCTAGATTGGATGACAATCCAGAGCAACGCAACACAAGTGTTATAGCTGTTGTTGTCATGCTGCATGTAGAGCAATCTACAAATTAACTCGATTTATTTTTAATCGATTACACTCAAATTTTGTATACACKTTGGGAATTTACATGAAAATTGCAAATTGTGTAGCGTTGCGATTCATTGAGCTTTACGATAGAATAAAAGTGTTAATAAAAAGACAATGAGCAGTCAAGCAACAACAAGTTTTTCAAGAAATTGTGTGCATAATTGAATATTTAACGGAAACAAATATTGAATATTAATTGTGTAGATTTTATGAATGCGAAGACGTTTTTTTTTTTGTTTTTTTTTTTTTTTTTNTTTTTTTTTTGTAAGTAAGAAAAATAAGATTTAAGAAATAAGCAAAACCGTTACCTTCGGTTGCATTGAAGTTATAACACCCTTCATAAATGCATTTCTTAWAGCATAACAGGTTGTAAAGAGAGCTTTATCTTGATTTTGATCGGTTAGTCTCTATCACAGCTATATGATATAATGGTTCGAACTGAACAATTATTCGAAGGTAGTAGAATTCCCTTAGACAATAATCTATACACAAGTCAAATAAAAAAGTTTTTCCTACAAGAACTTGATTTTGATCGACCGGTTTGTATGACAGGTATATCTTTTAGTGATATAGTAACCGATGTAGTAACCGATACCGACGGTTTCGACAAATATGTAAGTAGCTTCTTGGGGAGAAAATGGGRTATGCAAAATTTCAGATCGATATCTGAAGAACTTATTCGCCTTTATACATTCGAAAAGGCAGACGGACATGGCTAAATTGACTCAGCTCGCTCCGCTGTTCTTTTATATAGTCCTTCAAATACATGTTCATACCTATATCGTATATAAATCCCGTGTTTTGGATCATCATATTGTATCTATATGTGTTGCGTTTACCCAAACCTTAATGTTGGATGAGCTAGACATATGATTATTGACATATGTATAAGATTTTTCATTATAACTCGAAAGGTAGAGTTGAAAGCATTTGTTTACCATTATTTTATGACGAATTATTGCATTAATTTAACTGAGAAAACAATGGAAATTTTTCTAATTTGCCCAAATTACATGCTAGCTCTAATATAAGTGGTCCGACTTCTCCAAAACACCATTTCATAGGAAAACCACAACAAACTTGACTTTTTCCATAGCTTCTAGTGGAGTGTATATTGGCTTMTATATACGAGGTAAGCTTGATAAGTCAAGAAGTAGCTCCTTTTGTCGCAATGCTACTCTATTTTGACTCAATATACTTTCTAAATAGTTTTACAATAWAATAGTACTAAATTGGTTTGGATCACCATGTGGTGTCATAAAAGTTATTTGCTCAGTTTGAAGATCAGAACTAGAGCTGTGTTCGATTCGCCACTTATTTGTTTGAGTTCTCAGGTTCAATTCAATTCAATTCATTAGAAGAGCACATAGGTATATATAAATGAAAAGCTGACGTCATCGTCCTAGAAATGCGATGAACCTGACGAGGACTGAGACGGGTAGGTCCTTATTTCATTTACTACAATGGCCATATAATAGAACGCAAATTTGGTGTGGTACACGTGGTGGGAGAGAGACTCCGTCGCCGAGTACTGGCATTAAGCTCGGTGGATGAACGTCTAGCCACAATCCGCATCAAAGCGAAGATCTTTAACTTTTCGCTGATTAGCGCTTACGCCCCCATGGAAGAGAAGGACGATGTGGCCGAAGATGTCATCTATGAGCGCTTGGAGCGTATCTGTGAGAGCTGCCTCTCCCACAATGTCAAAATCGTGCTTGGCGACTTTAACGCCAAGGTGGGCAAAGAAGGTATGTTTGGCACTTTTGGACTCGGACCACTATCTTGTTGCAGCCAAGATAGGAACCTGCCTTTATGCAATAAAAAAAAGGCACATCAAAAAACACAAGGAAGGTTCGACTTCGAGAAGCTGCAATCACAACGGGAAGTTGAACGATTTTCTACTCGACTTGCGTTCCTGCTCACTGAGAGCACTCATCAAAAACTCGGTATAAGGGAGCTGTGGGATGACATTTCAAGCTCTTTATGTACAGCTGCAAACGAAACCATTGATTGTCGGAAAAGGCGAAAAGAAAGAACAG